CCTTGATACGAAGAAGGTTGTCGACATACGCCATGTGTACACGCATGGACTCGTTATGGAAAGGCAACTTGCTCACGAGGAGTTCCTCGAGCACTGAAATTGCGGAAGGAAACATCTGGAGCAAGTACTGCAGGGTGCTGTGCAGTCGCTTGCGCATGGTCTCGCGGCTGACCTCAGGAAAATCCGGGACACTCCACACTGAAGATCGACTGTCGCAGAACTTCCCCACCATCATCGCCAGAACTGGTGATAGGTAAGAACCTTGGGCGCTGACCAGGGCCGCCAGGAAATGAGTGAACACTTTCACAAAGGCATCGTCTCGTCCAAGCCAGGAGCAATTCAGAACAGTATGGACAAGACCATTACAGAGCCTGTTTTTGAGAATGGGGACACATCCAGTAAGAGCCACCACGTAAACCTGGAGTTCGTGGGGTTTCAGGGTATCATCTTCCTCTCCAACGACGGGTGGTAGGTACCGCTGTTTATCGCTCGCGAAGAGTTCCTTCAATGTGTCGTATTGGCTGTCGTTACCTCTCAGGTGCTCTTCAAGGGCAGTCCTGACTTCGAGCTTCACCTCATCCATGGTCCGTCGTCCGACTTCGTACGTCACGTTTCGGGTCTCGTCTATCAAGATTTTGCGGCGTTTCGTGGGGCTCTCGGGTGCTTCGACGGGGTCGCTTAGTCCAGCATACTCGGCCTTTCTCCTCCCCAAGACGGATGCAGGTTTGAGGATGGAGCGGACAGGCGTGGAGCTCCTTGGAACAGGACCAGAGAAATTCCTGGTCGTGGGTGTAAATGGTCTCATTGATGTAGGCCCTACCGAATGTTTGACGATGTCTCGCTTCGTTGTGCGCTGTCGCCCGATGGAGAGGAGTATGGTTGACTCGAAGTGATGGTGGCGTCTCTCAGGCAACAACAGTGGGAGGCGGGAGGGAGGGGTGCTTCGGATGGGCAATCAAGGTATAATCATGGGCTGAAGAGTGTGTTGAAATTTTGACCGTAAAGAATCAGCAGTCATAATAAGTATGTCTCAACAGCACAAGTGCCGGAAGATGGAGAGCTCGGTTTTCTTTTGCTGCCTTGTAGAAACGATGATGAAGAAATCTCGAGGATCAATTGTTAAGCGCTGGTGGCCATTGGAACTTTTTTTCCAATTTCTGTCGGGTACCCGATTTTTCGACGATTTTTGGTGGAGACCACACGTGCCTCATGCTCTTCCTAATCAGGAAAGGTGGTGTATCTTCTACGTTATTCTACTTTTGTTTTAGTGATTGCGTCACACTGGATATTGAAGTGAACCTCACTTCATGCATTGCAGCTTTTGTTCTTATTGCCTGCGTCGACAACGATTTATCAAGTTCCCATTGACATTAGTTATTGACCCTTTCATAACTTCGAGAAACCCGCTAAGCTTCGCTCGTGATCATAACGCCTTAAATAAATGGTTCTTTCTCGACTTATGAGAAAACGCCATCCAGGGAACTGCCGTTTTGCATTCAAAGCTTGTGCCATCACCACACTGCAAAACATCAACAAGAGGTGTAGTCTCAAAATACTTGGATGCATAGTGAAAAAAAAAACAGACTGTGGGTGTTAATATATCTGAAAACTACTGGCCCAAAACTCCTTGCCTCTGGACTCAATGCATATCCGTTAGTCTGCATCTCAAAGACCCTTTCTGACTATCGTGATTATTAACACTAATCATTTTGGGACTGCTCCCACGCTTGCAGGCAAGTACCAGACGCAAATCGCACCTCTATCTCTGAACACAAACCCAGTCATATCTCCCATTCATGCTCCCTACCCTTCCCTACAGTACCGTCCTCAACACCACCTCATACGATGTAAGTCTGCCATCGTTCCTGAAGTCCACGTACATATCCTGGAGGAAAGCTTATTGTGACCAAAAATACACTTCCGTTACAGTGCGGCGTTTGAGATGCTTGGATGGCTGTCGATATCGTTCACCGGGCTAATACTCGCAACCGATATGATGAACCTGTGCTGTTCAGGGGGGATATGCTGCCGCTGGTTAGAGGAACCATTCGAGTGGACGTTGGTACGATCGCTGTTGGGACCAGGGAGTGGGTTGTTGGGGCCATCCTTCGTCGTCCGCTCCTCACTGCAGGCGGCGTTTTAGTAGCCCTCACCAGCGTTGCCATTGTGGCCAGGTTGTGAGGCATAAATGTAGTTGGGATCACCCCCAGCCTCGACGCCGTTTCCGTCCTGTCCAAACTCACCCACGGCACTAGGCTCTGTTTTGGCATCGTTCATCCATTGTGGATTACTATCGATCCCTACTCGATCGCGGTTCGACTGATTCTGTTGCTGTTGGTGATTCGCGTTAGCAACTGAATGATAGAAGTATCCCTCAAACACTTCTCTTGCTACTCGGTATAGGCTCCTCCAGCGACAAAGCTTACAAGGAGCATACCTGCAAGTCATTCACTCAACAGATCCAGGGTCCCTGCTGGTAGAGTACTTGACTTACCTCTCTGTACTTGCTGAGATAAACTTTCAGCGCTTCCGCGTAGTTCTCGAAACCGAGAGACGTCATGGCGAAAAGAATGTCTTCGCCATTCACGGTCTTGCGTTTCTCTTGCTGACATTTCTCCGACGCTGTGCAAGTCAGCATGCTGCAAATCCAAGACATGACTCGCATTTTCAAGTGCCAGTCTTAGTAAGGCTGTGAATCCATAACTCACCCTCGCTTGTGATGAAAGAGATAAATTCGCTGACACACTCTTGCATACACTCCTTGGCCTCTTTCGCGATCTTTGCGTTTTCAGGCAGTGCATTTTTCATGATACGAGCAACTGGAGCAAAGTTTCGAATGTTAGCATCAAGCTCATCAGCTCTGTCGGCCTTGGAAGCGCGAGGCGCTTTAGGTGATTTGGAGGACGAATCGCAAGACATGAGAGGGATCCAGATATGCACGGCTGGGCGGGCTGAGGCGTCAAACAGCTCGCGCAGAAAGGGACGAACAAATCATATCAGGATGCCTCTGTAGATAGATAACATACCATTGGCTATGGGCAACCATCGATCCTGTTCCTTTACACCCTCATACTCGTAGCCCGCTGAGTTTGCGGCTTGTGGGTCTTGTTGCTCGTTCATTTGTGCTTCGTCGTCGGGTGACGGTGCACCATGGTCAACCTCCTTTGGAGCAGCGGATTGGGGGGAATCCGACATATTTGGCTACCTGCAGCGGCTGCTAGCGTCTCTTGTCAAAGGGGATTTCGGGCTCGCACAGCTGGACCTTGCGATGATGTGTCCCCTGGCCACGTCGCAGATGGTAGGGCTTGCAAGCGTCAGGGTGTGCGAGAGAGGAAGAGGGGTCTTGGATCCGCGGTGCTGTGCAAAGTCAACCAAAGAGTACTGTACCGATGAGGGTTCCTCTTCACTAATGCAGGTGGTCCCTGGCCCGGGATCTTGGGGCTATGACGCTGTTTTTGGGGGCGTGTGCCTGTGAGGCAAGGAGTGGTTGATGTGGATGTCTATTGTCAAGACAAGGAGAGGTGAGGTAAGGGTAAGGTTACCAAGATACAGGACACGGAGCGGAGCAGGCACCGGAGGGGGGGTGGGCGACCATGACTTCGAGGTCCGTCCGGTAGAGAATTAAGGGCATGCATGGTATGGGAGGAGGACAGGAAGGGGCTTTGATTCAAAGACATATTGGTACGTACAGTCTGGGAAATACAGATCAAACTGAGGTAGACAAGTCGCGCGAGCTTCGAGCTGTTCCGTAACAGGCTTAAGCTGGCTGATAGATACAAATCAAGAGCAGAGGCCGACGCGCGCGAGACAAAGCTGTAGCACACGCGTTGGAAGCTCAAAGGATACGCGCAGGACGGCAGGGCGCAGGTCAACGGCGATGGCGATGGCGATGGCGATACACCTCAGTAGGTAGTGATGTTGCCCGGAAGCGTCTCAGAATCGACGGGACGGAGCGGCGTAGATTCGGGTCGCGGTTTAGCTGGAGACCAACGGCGAATTGCACGGGAGTGCGAAGGTTCTACCGGGTACGGAGCTTGAACAATGTGTTACACGAGGATAGCAAGCGTCTCGTTCGCCAATGTCAGCTCTAATACGCCGCCGGGGTTCTACCAAATCGCGTCAGATCCAGATTCAGAGGGAATAATCAATAATAGCTCGGGAGGCCAAAGAGGACCAGGACAGGCCGGGACTGGGGCGTGTGTAGATTCGATGACTGATTGATGATGGAGCGCGATGGGGTTCGCCAGCAGGGGAAAGCAAAGAGCTCAGTGGCGATGGAGGCGAGGCTAGAGTGAGTGAGAGTGCGAGGAGCAGCGCGAGCGAGAGGGTGTCTGAGTTGTTCGCTTGTGGTCGCAGTTGAGGTGCATATGTGGAGTGCAGCAGCGGGCGTGGGGTTCTTTTCTGGAAAAAGAGACTTACAATTGATTGATCGCAGCTGCTATTAAGCAAGCGAGACGATTAAGATGGTAAGTAGCGGATATGCGGTCAAGACGCGATCCAACTAGTCAAAGTTGCGTTGATCGATTTGGGCAAGGTGAAGAAACTTGGTCAGCTTCGGTGGTGGTGGATGGAAGTGGAAGTGAGGTTAACAAGGTACTAAGAAGAGATGTTTCGTTTCCCTGACACGCCAACAACAAACCCAAGCCCAAGGCTGAAAGCCCCAGCAACCTTGGGTACACACTAACTCAACCCGCACTGTTAACCTTTAGACCCTGGGCGCCATTGCTGAGGTACCTCTTTTCTCTACCTACTCTGGAGGCCGGCCGCTTCCATACGTAGGTACCTAGTAGATGTTATCGATAACGAACTTGGGCTGTATCTAAGCCTTTTTGATGAGCTGGTTGAGTGTCAGTGTAGGGCCAACTCAACTCAGAAGCAGCACATTGGAGTTTATTAGCCCTACAAACCCTCACAAGAAAGCAACACCAAAGCTTACAGGCACAGTGCTGAGAACATGCTCAAATTCCTGTATAACTATCGTTCCTTTCGACACCGCTATATCAATCCGACTGACCCGGACAAGGAATACTCGCTCGATGGACCATCCATCTGCTCGCTTCCTTGATTCCTTGAGCCGCTAAAAGCAAAAGCCAAAAGCCCTGGGCTTGTCTAGGAAAGAAGGTAGACAAGTTGCTGCAAACACTCCCATGGGTACACAGGAGCATGGCCCCAGGCGGTGTGTCGCAAACTCTTTTTCACCTACCTTGGCTTGGGGGACCATCGTACGAAAAAGATCCCGTGTTTACAGTGATACATGCTGTCCTGTACTGGCCGAGGAAACGTGCGAGATGGGTATTCTGGTGCTACACCCAATATCAGCTCTGCTATAGATGCGCTGCAGCGAGGCCTTCTACTGCAGCGCTGTTGGATCAGGATCTCTCTCTCGACAAGCACATCCATCTCTGTGAATATGACCCCATCTCCAATGCCTCCTCAAAATGACGTCCAGGCACTTGCTCACCATCAGGCACTTGACCGGTCATGATCAAGTCCACCTGGGCGGTAACGGAAGAGGGGGGCCACTCTGATTCCTTATTCGACAATGGCATTTTCCATCAAGCCACCCATCAAAACTGTATCCACGCTTCCATCGCCAGGGTTCAGTTTTGGGCTGAGCTGTTGGTGTAACTCATTGTCGGCCTCATTTGTACATGGCAACCTGTAAGCTTCCGCATAGTATGCCTCAGATGCAAGCCAACAACTTAGCCCCGAGTTCTCTGCCTAGCTCAAAAATTACAGTCCAATAAATGGTTCAGCCTCCTTGTAAAACATGGTCAACGGCCTGGTCCAATACCTGCAAGGACCCGACAAACTGGAGTGTTGGTCATCTAGGTTACGGCTTGATTGTGCCAATCAAAGAGGCCTTACCATCATATGCCCTTTTTCCAACAGTTGATTTGGGACTTTAGTTAATTCAAAGCTCATCACGGCTTCTGAAACCTTAACAACCCTTCCATTGTAAGCAACATGGAGTTCACGCCAAATGTTAAGGCTTTCTCACGATTGGAACCCAAAGCCCCCATCCTAGCCAAGCCACAAACAGCTTCAGAACATAATTCACAGTATCTGGTTAGGATAGATGACTGTGATAGCCTCATCAGAGTTCCTGCTGACCGCCCCCTGGCACAGTCAAGGTGAAGCAGGCAGTGTGCGTTAAGTGACGACTTGGCGGCATGACCGCGAAAAGTGATAGATCTTTTATTGATGTGCTGCGATGACAGGAGTTCCTGAAGATCCTAAACTCAGTTCATTGCTGTTCGATACAACGGTTTTCGGTAACAAACAAGCCTATGAAGGCGTTACTAATAAGTTACTAGCATCAGCCACTCTGTTCTTCAGGTCTGATTGGACTCGATCACATTTAAGCCATTCCAAAGATCATATTTTCACGGAACTAGAAGCGTCTGATAGAGCATTGGAACGACCGCTGTGCCGCAGGGCCTACATTTGAGGAGGGGACACAAGTGCAATATCAACCAGTCAGAAGTACATATCTTATGGCTTCTGCATGTCAACAACTGATCTGCTGCGCCAGAGGAACGCACTAGCCCCCACAAGGTCATGATGGATGCTGCTACTCTTGACAAAGGTGGTGGAGAGCTGTCGGAGTGAAGGCAGCAACTGATGACTTGCAGTTCATGGCTAGGCTGCCCCATATCGATCAGACTCTTTTCAGATCTCGGTGAAGATCAATCAGACAGGTAACTTTGAATTTACGTTGCATACATGCACATAGAAAACGCCAGCTGTCCATCGTATTATCTTTGTCATCCTTTGGCTTTCTCATTCTCATGCACTTCGCCTCGATGCACACGTCTCCAGTTGAGGCATGGAACATGATGTAAGTCTCACAAAAGTCATGAGTTTCAGACAGATTGAGTGTGCGGAAATTTCCTCATTTTTCTCCTCAAAAGGTATCACCATCATCAACGGTGGTCCGACACGAGGATACATGTGGCCAGTTAATGCAACCGGTGGGCAAGCCTCGTCAATCGGGGTGTTTCTGTCCATACAAACACATGCCCGCTGTCTAGGTCTTGCGTCGCATTACATTGCATTGTGTGTTTGACGTCCTGCATGTCAAAAACTCTGATGCTTCTGGGGCCTCAATGCGGTTGGGCATGCAGACGCTTTTGCCGCCATAACCCCACAGCACGCAGCAAGTGTACAACGCATCAACACCATCTTTCTATTCCTTCTGCCGTGTTGCTCGTTCAGCCTGAGAGGCCGATATTTGGACGGCAAGCAGGCCATGGAAGTCCGTCTCATCCGCGTCCAAATGAGGCTGGAGCAGAAACACCGGGCCCGATGGAGTGGCATTTGTCTCTAGAGAGAAGGAATTTTGAGGAGTAATTGCGTTGTTGCAAGCTCTGTCGTATGAGGCTGTGTTCAAAAGTGGCACATCTAATAAATCGCAAGCATGCGATTCTCTGGTAGTTCTCAGAAATGAATCCTCTGTGGTACTAATGCAAACGTTTTCTTTTATTCTGTCCTCGTAGTCTCATTATTGCTGTACAACCTGCACATTGTTCTTCTTCTGGAGAATCGTTAGTATTGGCTCTGTAATCTTACGCCAAGGACTGAAATCATTTCGATTTTTCTCTTACCTTCCACTTCTCAAGATCATCCTGCTTCGTCTTGTATTGCTTTACCAAGTCATCCAGCACCTTGCGAAGCCCTTCTTGGTTGGTCTTGAGGGCTGGTACTACATCCTTGACCGTCCTCTCAACAAGCACACCGTTGATGAGACGGAAACACTTTCTGTCTTCTGAAAGGGGCTCTAGTGTCTCCAAAACAAGCCTGTTGAAGGTCAAATCAGAATCAGTGGTTCAGCACGCGGTAATACTATGTTGTAGGAGGAATTTGGACAAGCCGACGCCATGCTCAACCTGTTTGAATGATGGTAAAGACAATAATGAGGAGTAAGCCACTTACTTGTGCTCCTCGGCTTCTTGCTCAATGTCACCAATTCTCTGAGCTATTTGCTGAAGAGTGTTCTTGTAGTTGGAGTAGGTGACTTGAAGATCTAGACAACGTGAGTAAGAGGCGGCGTCATGACATGTGTCAGAAGGAGGGTTGCGCTGACCTTGCTGCTTCTTAGCAGGTACCTGAGCCGCTGAAGACATATTTTTTAAGGAAGCAAAGTGTTTCGATATAATGCTTCTCTTTGTTGGTTGAGTATCAATAGATGCTCTCTTGTGTGGAAATAGAAGCCAACGCAAATACGATCCATGCCCCTCCAAATCCCATGGAGCCTCCCGCCTGGTCCGTGCGCCCCGACCCAATTTTCAATCTCCTCAGCATGTGGCGATCACTGGATTACTTTGAGGGTCCTCCAACTCTTTGCCTTTCCAGTCTATCAACATCATCATGCATCCTCATCTTCACACAAAGAACGCTCTGGGTAAGTCCATCGAGCGCTTTATCGCTACCGCGCGCTAACTCCAGTCACAGCGTGCGAAGAGGTCATCGCTGCCCTCGAACAGTGCCATAGCCAAGGCTTCATGCACAAGGCTGTGGGAAGCTGCAATGACGCCAAAGAGAAGGTCAATGAATGCTTAAAGATCGAGCGATCAAAGATGCAGGCCGAGAATCGAAATGCTGCCCGGGCAAAGCGCGACAAAATCCGGGAGCAGCAGCGGGAATTGGGACTGTGACGTAGAAACGCCTTACGATACGATGCCAACGACCCGAATTCGACACGAAGCGAATCCATTGACGATGGGCTGTATTCGACCTGTATACTAGAATCATTTTGGCTGGCGTTCTGGGCGAGAAATCCATGTCAAGGAAGCATGAGATTGTGACAGTACAACTATTAATCATCATACGATCCTACCTCAATTCTCGAGTTGCTCTTAGTGGCCATGAAGTGCATGTTCCTATATCACGATCACTTCTTGAAACCAAACTTGTATTGGGGCGCCAAGATTGATCATCGAGCAGGACACACTATCCTCAGGGATCAACAAAACACCGGACCTTGATATAGGGTGTCAAAATAAACTTTACAAAGAGTCCCTAAGTTTAGGCTAGGTTTACCTAAGTATTTTTATCGCTAAGGGTCAAGGTCCTGAGTTTTCTTTCCTCCCCTAGACTATGTTCTATGAAATATGTGCAGTATTACAATATTGTCTACCTCATTCTTGCTCTTAGAAAGATGCAAAAATGAAGAGAAGAAGAAGAAGAAGAAGAAGAAGAAGAAAGGGAGAGCAACTGAGGGTCGATGACTCAGTGAAATCTCTACAGGAGAAAAGCAAGACCAACCATCATGAGAATTGTCGCCAGCATTCCGTCGATCGCCTTTACCACCGCCCTTGAGACAATGACAACAGAAGCATCTGGCACAACCACTGGTGTATGAGTTGGAGCTGGCCTGCGGTGAAACGTTGGCGTGGGGGCATCAGGATAACCGTTTCCTCCCAGAGGTACTGCAGAAGGCTCCGCTTGACCATGGCTGCCGTTGGCTGCAGGGGAAGAATTCTTGGGCTGAGTCCCCTGAGTATCCGGCTTAAGCTCGTAATGTTCAACGATATGTGTTTCGTGAGCTGCATATTCTCTTGTGGGTGCTGCGACAACTGCACCGGCTGGAACAGTAAGAGCAATGACGTTCTGTCCATTGTGACCACACCTATTACAACCCACCTCGATAGTCGTCATCTCAACCGTTGGCGGTTTCTGATACTGACATCTGTGGCAAGGGGGCGGTCGCAACGTGGTACAATACTCAGTGATAGTCAGGTAAGACGGGTTATTGGGGTCAACAACGGTGTATGTCACAGTGGTGATTATTGGCTCCACAGCTTCGGTTCTGGTGAAGTTACCAGCATTATAAGAGACAGTTGTCGGGAATGGGGGCGTGATCGGCTTTGCGCCTTTTGATCTAGTGACAGAAACTGAAGGCTCAAGGGTGATGACGGAATCAACAAATGTTTCTGTGCTTGAGGATGGGGAATTCGAAATTGTCGGGTTCTCGGTAGGCAAGCCGGAAGACTCAGAGGTCAAGATAGGTTGAAGAGTGATCTCTGTAGAGACTGCGAGAGAAGATATCCCTGCTGTGCTAGGAGCTTCCGAGGCGGTCAAAGAGCTTGATATGGCTTCAATCTGCGCATACAAAGTGAGCAAAATGCCAGGGGGGGCATCTCGACGTCGAAGGCGCGAGTCCGGGCTTGAGTCGGTCAAAATCACACCGCCACAGAACAGGCCTGGGTCCCCAGGGCATGGCAGATCACAGCGACCGTTGGTCACAGTTTCGGCAGAGTCCAGAGTATCTGCAGCATAACACGACCTAATTAAGATCAGCCAGATGAGCGTAGCATTAATGTCTCAGAACTTACCTCTGGTAGATGCCTATATAAGCACGTCCTCTTCCTAACCTGGCACACTCTGCGGTAGTCATATCAGGGCCCTCTCCGATCAAGCCAAAGCTGGGATAGCCAGCTGCAGACCCTAAGCAACCGAAGAACTTGAAAGTCCCGATCACTGCTAGGTTAGACGGTACGGAAGATGAGGTAGCAACTGTTGATGTCGCTGGAGACGATGTGTCTTGGGCTGTTGAAGTCACGGCTGTTCGGAAGCTTAGTGTCAGATCCAGTTTATGCACATTAGGTGAGGTTTAAGGGGGAAACATCGGAGATCACTCTTGTCGTGTGTAAGTGTCTTACCGTAACTAAGGCTTGTCTCCTCCACTGAGTTTGAGATTGTGCCTGTCGAGGACTCCGTCTCTTCGGCAGCACTTGGTTCCAAGGACTCGGTTGTGGTCATGTCCGGTATGGAGGCTTGTTTCGCTGTTAGTACTGGGTTCTTTGTAACTATCATGCAATGAACTGTGACAGGGATCATGGGCTTTTTAGATGTATGCGCGCTAAGAACTCACTTGTTGTCAACTCGATTGGGAGGTCACTACTCAAGCTCGGTGTGACCTCATCGGTAGATGTTGGGACTGCTAGGACAGTAGATGACACTTGAACTCCCTCCCGAGAGGTAGTCGTGTTATCTATGGAGCTTTCAGGCAAACTCGTTGTTCCGAGGCTGGTAGTGCTCTCATTGGAAAATTTTGGAGCTGTTGTAGTGGCAGTATCAGATGTTGGGGTAGGAGTGGGTTCGATTACGATGGTTGAATACTCTGTAACTGTGTCACTTGGTTCGACACTTGTTGTATCTGCTGTTGTCATGGTTGAGTTTGGGAGTTCTTCTGAAATGACTGAGCTACTGGCTTCGGTCGATGTCTCCATCAATTCTGTGGTAGAAACGGTGGTGGTGTCTGCGGTGGTAGTGTCTGCAGTGGTGTCTGTGGTGGTGCCTGAAGCAGTGAATGTTGTTTCCTTGGCAGTTGTAGTAGTCGTCTCCTCGGGGGTGGTCATAGTGGCCGTCTCTTTGCTAGTGGTTGCCATACTTGTATTCTCAACAGTACTAGTTACCTCCTGAGAAGTTGTTGTCGATTCATCCTGAGTAGTTGATGTAGGGGGCTCTTCAGAGGTAGTTGTTGTCTCATCTGCAACTGTCGTCGTCGTAGACTCCTCGGCAGTGGTGGAGGTTTCTTCTGCTGTTACCCCAATTTCGATCGTTCCGGACACAGTTCCTGAAGCAGTGATGGTAGAAGTATAGGGAGTATCGCCTGCTGCCAATGTAGTTGTGGTTGTGACGTAGGCAAGCCGGAAAGGTTCGTTGCAGTCAACGCAGGCTTCAGCTTTAATCATCAGGGCTGAGTCCCACATGGCGTCTCCAACATCACAAATTGCGACGACCACAGTCTGCGGACTGGCGGGAAGTGACGGTACATCGATCCAATAAGGCGCCGACGAGCCGGGGTACGAGGTAACGCTGTTGGGCGGTACGATCACCAGAGGTTGTGACAGCCACGGGTTCGTCGCGGTCAGCCTATTCCCACTGCCATCCAAAGCATAGTTCTGGTTGTTAACGAATATGCCAATTGTATCAGGAGCGCCCCTTGGTTTGTTAGTTGACTGTAAACCGATTTGTTGCCAGTAGTACTAACCCAAGTTCTTCCGAAGCCATGACAACCTCGAATCTCATTCCTCCGAAGCCTGGAATAATCATGACATCCGCAGTCAATATCGCAGCGTTGTTACTTGAACCGTCGCCGCAATACATTGCTGACCCAGTCGCACCATTATTCACGTAGTGGTCTCCATTTGGAAGAGCTCCCACAGCAGCTCCCGAGGTGAGGATCGCTGCGTCTCCCATACCGAAAGGTCCATCAGTGAATGTTCCAGAACTAACCGATGCCCCTGTAAAGGACGCTGAGATGACACTTATGCCATTGCCAAAGATAGCAGAGGCCAGAGCGTTTCCGTCTGTGTTTGCCGTGACACTGAATGCGCATGAAGCACGCAGCAGTGCTGCTAAGGCAACGAGACTTGACAGATGAAATCCCATCTTTAAGAAGGTATTGCGGAATTAACCAAATCGAGTGCAAACGTTGCTTTCCTCTGGCTTTCAGTTTAAGGAGTGGTCGGTGGGTGAGATTAAGAAGGTTCTTTATACACCTTTCATAAGCAGCCCATATCTGAATAGCAACTACAAAAGGGGAACTTAGAAAGTACCCCAATGCACTCATCAATAAGATCCATTCCAATGCCAACAGGTTGATGATCATCTTGAGATTGCCTACTATCAGTCGATCCACGCAGTTGCCTCTAGTTGTCTCCAGCTAACGCGAGTCTTCTGCTGCTTTCTTCTGTCTCATTCTTGTAGCGGTTAGAAAGACTACGAATGGTGTGACAATTAAGTCCAGAAGAGTTTAAATCAACGTCTTGTGCAGTCTGCATATCTTAGAGTGACATGCCAAAGATCCCCTTGCACTACAATTTTTCAGGATGTCATCCAGGCTTAGTGAGTTGAATATCGACATTCCATGGATGAAAGCTTGGTTTTGGGATCAGAGAAACCATAACGCTACAAGGGACAGTTGTGCCGCTGTAGTCTACTTCGATAATGAACTCTTCAGCGATACTCAAAAAATCTAGTATTTTCCAAATTACAAGCCGAGCCACATCACATAATAGGACCTTCTGAAACATGATGAAAGGTTTTCGTTCTTATTCGAATGCTCCCAACCCAAGAATAACATGTGTAATCGAGGATGATAAGCGAACGTCAGCCTAAGAGGAAATAATTCCGGTATGAGACATTTATGATGCATGTAAAAAGCTTAGCCTTAAACCCATGATTCTCCCTGAAACTTGGCCGGTCATTGTTAAAGAGTCAGAACATCGGCCTTGGGGGGCAAGAAAACAGCAAACCTTCCTGTAAGGTATCAAAATAAATTTAGTAAAAGTCATTTTAAGCTTAGGCTATATTACCTAAGTTTTTTCGTAATTTAGGATCGAGGACCTGTATTTTCTTTCCTCCTCTAGATCGGTATTAATCAGATGAGACAGCCCACAATACACGACTCATGGCGGTCGATGGTTGCGAATGTTGTGAATAGAAGGCATGAGAGAAGAACTTCATGCCTTGTAAGATTCTACTTTGACGCTTTTTGAAGCCGTTTATTTCTATCTTCTTACCATAAAGTAGCCTGACCTAAGCCCTACCAGAATTATATGGTGATCGCTCGACAATATACCACATCGATAGAACTGCATTTAAAGCTCTTTCTTATATCGTATGTCAATCGAGGGAAGTGGCCCGGGTTCTGGTGTCAAGCATATCACAACACTATGTCGATGTCTCACACTGAGTCGGAACAGTTCCAGATAGCCAGTCTGTGGGCCCTGGGGGCAAGAAAACAGCAAACCTTACTGTAAGGTATCAAAATAAACTTAGCAAAAGTTATCTTAAGCTTAGGCTATATTACCTAAGTCTTTTTGTCATTTAGGATTGAGGTCCTGTGTTTTCTTTCCTCCCTTAGCCAGTCCATCGATCCAGAACAAGTAGTTCTATTGTATCGTATAACTACTTTGATAAGCTATCATCATCTGACAGCTGTCTCAGGCCTTCCTTCGAAGAGCAGAACCATAGGTGAAGAGGCCAAATGCTGAAATGACACTAAGAAGAATTGGAACCGGTTTCCTCAGACGAAGGGCTCGGGGGAAAGCAGATCCCCCAAGAACGACGGAGGCTAAAAGACCAAGCTCAACTCCATAAGGCTGCTCATTCTGAATGCGATAGCCACCAAGAGCATCTACGAGTCAGTTGTTAGCACGTTGACACGCTACGAGAAAGACAAGGGAGGTAATATTGGGACTTGCATAAAAATCCAACAGCGCAGCCAGCAACGATTGAAGGAACAGATCGTGTGCGCGCGTATCCCATGATACCGCCTCCTGCGGTCAGAGCACCGAGGATGTAGGCGGGAAGCTCAAGATCGTGGTAATTGACGGTGGCCTAAACTTGTTAGTCAACGAGCTGGTTAAGGCTGTTATAGGGCTCATGACTAACCATTGTATTGCTTGTATCCTTACTACCTGTTCTCTCAATAAATTTGTAAACTTTCAAGATGAAACAGCAACTTGTTCTTTTATGTCTTAAGACGAAGCTGCGGAGCCCTCGGCCATTGACGACATATTTGAGGTACGTACCTTGCAGTTCGTGGTGAGCGTGGGCCTAACCCCCGGATTCTTGGCTTTTTGTGAACCAATCACCTTCAGTTGGCCTTGGAGCTTTCGTGTCCAGAGGAAGCTCTCCTACTGCACTTTGAACTAACCAAATCCACCGACACCAACGTACGTACGTCAAACACTACGAATCAACCATCACCAAAGCTTCATAATATCGAAAGAAACTCCTACACCGAGCAAACAGCCCAACTCATCCAACAGACCCTCCCGAATTACAACAATGGCGGCTAAGAAGAACGTCCGCGATATCACCCCCTCGGCCGCTGCTACAACTCAGGCCAGCACCACCAGCGCTGGTTCAGTTCCTCCTCAGCCTCAGCCCAAGCCCGTCACTATCGCCAAGAACGAAATCAAGGGCGAAGTTCAGTGGGACAAGGTAGTCCAGAACCTCTACAATCACTACGTCAACAATACTCCTCAGCGCATCAAGTTGGTTGATGCTTTTATGGTCTTCCTTGTTGTCGTCGGTGTTCTCCAATTCATCAACTGCGCCCTCGCTGGCACCTTCGTGCGTCTTTACCTATGAATCTGTAATAGTTTATCGATTTCTAATGCTTCTTAGCCCTTCAACGCTTTCCTGTCCGGCTTCTGTGTGACAGTTGGGCAGTTCGTCTTGACTGGTATGTTACGACAACCGACGACCGACGGCCTCGAAAGATTATGGCTAATGATATCCAGCTTCGCTACGACTTCAAACAAATGAGGCTGTCAAGAACGATTGCCCTTCAGTATCCCCCGAAAGGTTTGTCGAACTCGGGTTTATGAAGGAGGCCCAACACTAACTTTCTCCAGGGCTTTCGCCGACTACATCGTCTGCAGCTTGATCCTGCATTTCTTCGCCATCAACTTCATTAACTAGACGGCTAGTTGAATATTGTGACCCTGGTGGGATAGGGACCTCTTTGAGGGCTACGTCGGACCCATCAGGCAGTGTACGATAAAAGACGGCAAATCACGAAATTCTTTAAAAGTTTGACCAATAGATCGGGAAATAGAACAATCAGCAAGGGGAATCATTCACATGTGCTATCTTGCCATAATCTCATTCTGCTTCACCACCACTGGCCTGAGTCTCTGGCTTTGGTGAGTCCCTTGGAGGACCGCCTTTGGGTGGGGGAGGGGCTGGTGAGTTCCTAGCCGAAGGTGCATTATCCACAGCCCGACTCTTCTCTTCCTCCTCTTTAAAGTAATCATCCATCAGCCTGTTGGGATTGTGGCCATGGCGTTCCTTCTTCTTCCCAGCTCCCCTCGGCGGTGCACTCACCGGAGCATCACCTATCATCTGTGCAGGCACCAAAAAGTCTCCTGCTGGAGGGGCGGGCTCCGAGCCACCTACCGCGGGAGTAAATGCGTCCTCGCTCTTCTCATTGGTGGCTCCATCGAACATCGTCTCGCCAGGGGCATCAACGGGCTCGCTCAGAGGAGGAGGTATCCTGTGAAGGGCTCCGTATCCAAGCACGCAACCCAGCGCTCCTTGGCCACCCCAATCCCTGCTAGGCTGTATTGTGACTTCTCTGGTGACATTGTATTCGTTGTTGTAGACCCAGATTCGCATCGGCCGTCCGATAAAGTCCTCGACGAGCTCGCCCAGGCCACCCTCGCCATACAACGCACCCTCAGGACTACCGAGGATATAGTCACTATATGGCAGAAGACCGGCGGCATCGGCGGGGGAGTTGGCGGGGACATCGAGAACGTGCCAGATGTTAGCAGCAAGGGCCAGCGGAGCGTATTGGAGCGAAAGACCGAGGGATGCAGTATCTAATGCAACAGGCGCATGGATTTCTCTCGTTCTTTGGCCCTAATAGTTGTCAGTAGGAGAGTTCAGAAGGCACAAAGTTAATAGTTTACTTTTGCATTCCATAATCCCAGGGTAACTGTGCTGCCCGCGCAGTTTCTCACTTCCTGGCTGAACAAGGCTGGTTCGGGGTCCTCCTAGACTACTTGTTAGCGATAAGGAGCTTAGAGTGCCTAGAATGAGCCGACATACAATAGGTCTACCATTGATTCCAACAATAAAGTCGAACCAGGGTTCGATAGCAAGCTCCAGGTTGGTATTGCGCAGCACCTGGAAGCCGAAGGAGCCTCGCTCTTGTTGCCTCTGCTGCTGGACATCTCCGTCCAGGCGCGAGATGAAGCGGTTTAGCGCATTAAACATTGCTTCGATGACTTTTTCTCCAGATCTGTGTGTGTCTATTATTGCTGGGGATCAAGAGGGGCTGATGTGTTTAGTACTGTATCAGATGGAAGCATGTCAAGGGCAGATCGAGCAATCGCAAGCTGTCACTATTACAGTGCCAGCCTTGCAGCGATGGCGTCTGTGCCAAGCCCACTAGTCTCCATGTGGGGCATACTGTGGGGAGCTCATCGTCAGCCTCGTGCTCAATTTCAACCTTTGAGTTCTCTTCAACTTGCTCATGGCAAGTCAATACATTCAACTTTTGAGAAAGAATGGCTGCTAGCGCTTAATACAAAACCTACTCGTACTATCCTTCGAATCAAGACATGAGTAGTTCAGGGGTAGAATTGTCGCTGGACGACTCCGAGTACTCTATGAAGCCCGCTGAAGAGCTGCCTCTAACTGGTGATTGTCACCACTATCAAGGAAAGCATGAGGTGCCATGGGATATTCAAAAGTGAGCAACTGTTGACTAGTTCACTTCTCTCGATCGTGCTAATATTGTCAGATACTTTGCGCAGCGATATTCGATCTTCTCATTGTACGACTATGGGGTTTACATGACAGACGATGCTTGGTTCGGTGTAACGCCCGAGCCAGTAGCAAAGTGAGCATACAATTCCTATACCTACCTCCTCAAGGCTCCGCTAACTCTAATCTAGCCAAGTTGCTCATGATATGTATGGCACCGACCAAAAGAAGCATATCCTAATTGATGTCTTTGGTGGCGCAGGGGGTAACAGCATTGCATTTGCTCTTTCTGAACGATGGAGTCGCGTTATCTCTATCGAACGCGACCCTTCAACCTTAGCCTGTGCCCAGAACAATGCCAAGGTCTATGGTATCGCGCCGGGGCTAATTACGTGGGTTCTCGGTGATAGCTTCGAGTACCTCGACAAGTTATTCAATCAAACAGAAGAACTGCACCCAAATCTAAGAGTAAGCCTTGACGAAACAGTACTGTTTGCGAGTCCACCTTGGGGCGGCCCCGGATACCGCACTGATGAAGTGTTTAATCTTTACAACATGCAGCCGTATAATCTTGACGATTTACACACTGCATACAACAGGCTGGATCACGCGTTGTTTCTACCCCGGACGAGCGATATTCGACAAATCGCTAGGCTAGCACCTCCTGATAGGAAAGTTGAGGTTGTTCAATACTGCATGGAGGGTGCCAGCAAGGCCCTGGTAGCTTATCTTCCAGGAAAATACTCAAAGGCCCGCCAGTGAAAGATGCCCTCCAAAATAAGATCACTGTCGCGACTCGCATAGCAATGGAACAAGTCTATACCTGAGGAAGGGTGTTGCTGAGAGTCTCGGGCATTGGGTTGACGAGATCATGATGCTGTTGGGGGCAACCATACTTATCTGTTTGATACCATACCTTGCCTATTCAACGGCATATTAATATAATTTGAAGCTCATGCAGACATCAATAGACCGTTGGTGTATTGCTCAAAGGTGTATTATCCAGCTTATTCAAATTGCCTCGGTGATCGATATACAGTATATATTGTATAGTTGACACTGTGCTGTGAATGGTTGGATTTGACTTGATCAAAACCTGTAGGAACCCCATCCACGCGCGGGAATTTTCGCATTGGGGCCCAAACTTGGCAACTTGTTCTACAGTGCCAAATACCTTTCATCATCATGGCCAAAGATAAAAAGAAGAACGCTGACGCCAAAAAGGCAAAAAAGGTGCCGTCATATTCTGTGCTACCGTGTCCGCATATGTCTTTGCCCCTCCATCAATTAATTACCCCTCCAAATACGACTGTCCCTCCATGCATCATGAGATGTTGAACGTTCGACTAATGATCAGAATTAGGCTGAGAAAGCAGCCAAGCAGGCCAATAAGGGTGAAAAGAAGGCCAAGAATAAGGCCGCCAAGGTCGAAGGAAGTGATGCCGAAGATGTTGATCTTGATGAGGTGCTGGAAGAGTACCGAAGACAACAGGAGCAGTTCCTCAAGATCACTGAGACGGTAATTGATGCACCTCCGAGAGCGAGAGCTGCCTCAACGTTGATGGCTTCACCTCATGATAGCAATACTTTACTACTCTTTGGCGGTGAATACTTCAATGGCTCTCTCGCTCAGTTCTTCAACGATCTCAATATCTACAACATTAACAGAGATGAGTGGCGATGTGTAACTTCACCCAACGCTCCACTCCCACGATCTGGTCATGCTTGGACCAGAGCTGGAAACCCGAACCATGTCTATCTCTTTGGCGGGGAGTTCTCCTCGCCAAAGCAGGGCACATTTCACCACTACTCAGACTTCTGGAGGCTGGAGCCTGCAACGAGGGAGTGGACGAAGATTGAGAGCAAGGGTAAGGACAAGAGCCCTTCAGCTCGAAGTGGTCATCGGATGACGTACTGGAAGCAGTACATTATCCTCTTTGGTGGTTTCCAAGACACTTCAAATCAGACGAAGTACCTATCAGATCTCTGGATCTTTGATACTGTTAACTTTATGTGGCATTCTCCTCAGCTGCCTCCTGCCCAGCTCAAGCCAGACGCTCGCTCATCTTTCACTCTGCTACCCCATGAACAAGGTGCGGTTCTCTACGGAGGTTACTCACGTGTTAAGGCGACTGTCAACGTCAAGCAAAAGGGCAACAAGGGACCTAGCCAGG